AAATCAATTGGCTTTGAAGCAAAAAACATGTCAATGTTCACCTTCCACATTTGCATACGTCTTCCCATTAAGATGGAGTTACAGCGAATGAAAAAGATGGAAATCTGATGATGATGCCATATCTGGAGAATATGGTGGGTTGGGGAGAACTTCTCAACCCAACTCCATAATCTTGTGTTGCATCAAACACGCCACATGTGTACGTGAATTGTCGTGGAGAAGAACACTTTTCGATTGACAAGTGAAGGGCATTTCTGATGAAGGGCTTGATATAAACGTTCCAGTTGCTGACTATAGATGTTTGCATTGACATTTTAATGTGGATTGAGGAGTTCGAAATGAATTACTTCTTTGATGTCCCACCAAATGCAAAGCATCAATTTCTGTGGATGGAGTCCAGATTTGGGGGCTGGAAGTGGTTTTTGTCTAGAACCGAGCCATTGTTTTTTGCCATTTAATATTCGCATAGAGAATCCATTTTTCATCACTGGTGACATTTCTGTCCAAAAATGGTTCACATGCATTAAATGCCAGAAGAGACAAAGCAACATTAAAATGTTGGAAACGATGATCATCAGAGCGTTTGTGAAGCACCCAAACACCTTTTGTATAGTTTTCGCATATTCCTTATATGTTTATGTATTGTTTCATGAGAGTTATGCAAGTTCAGGGCCATTTCACGAGTGTGTTGCCTTGGATTAGACTCAGCAAGCGTCTTCAGAGCATTAATATCAATTCCAACATGTCGGCCCCTGCCATCACAGTTTTTAAGGCTAAAGTCACCAGAACTAAATTTGGTGAACTATCGTTGACACTTACGAACGTTCAAAACAGTTCCCTGAACTTATTTTATATTCTTTGTGGCTACAGAGGCGTTGTTTCCCTTCTTGTATTCAAATAACATTACATGCTGAAAGTGTGTCTGATCGTGTACCATCAGTATAAGGGATTAGAATATACTAAAGTTGACACATTATATAGGCTACACTAACGTGACGTTTAGGCGGTTCATTTAACTATTATACGTGATGTACGTTTTTTTGGGGTGGATAATGAAAGTGTCCCAAAACGTGACATTAATTTCTTGATGACCTAATATTTTTTGAAACAGATGACATCAGTGGAAAAAAGAGGGAATATCCTAACTACTGAGGACTCCACAACAGTGATTTGGAAAAAAGTAGAATCAACAAGGAAACTATGAAGGATTAAATGTGACCACCAGAGAACATCTGTGGTATGCATGAAACAATTCTTCATGACCATTACAAAGTAATTGGTCTCACATGCATCTGTAAGTAATGAAATGCTAAAATAATTGATATATCTGCATGCATTTCTCCATGCTACTAAGGTCTAAAAATAAAGTTGGGGCAACACCTTATTTGAGAAATTTGTTATTCTAATAACACTACTTTTGTCAATAATGAGGTATTATAATATGTTTGATTTTTAATGGGAGTAATAATATTACAGTGACTTTCCACAAAAAAAAAAAGAAACAAGTGTTAATTTCTTTTTGTTGTATACCTTCATTAGTGCCCTTTTCTCTTTTTACAGCTAAACCAAATCCAGTTTCTTAATTCTAAGCAAATAAAATGTCTATACGATGTATAAAATATGAGTAATTACTAAGACCAATTACAAAAGCAACTCACGAGATGGATTTCATACAAGCTTGAATGAGGTTTTAGTTTAATTTTATCTGTTGAATAGCATGCGTGCATAATCAGATTAACTGATCCCATACAAATTGTATAAAAGGCATAACAAAAATACTAAGTGGTAATAAACAGCTTCTTTTTCAAGAACCATGCTAAACTATAAAAAAACATAAAATTATTAGTAACGACATACTTTAAAAAATTTACAAATATCACAGCCAACCTTCTAAAATCATTGCTTGCGTAGAAGTTGGAAAATTTTGAATATAATTTTGCAAAGTTGCATATATTGTAATGATTACAATTGATTAGTTGCAATATTTAATAAATGATTGAATTGTTATGCTACTAAACTTTTAAAAACCTGTTGACATGCATTTCATTAATTAATTTCCAGACATATAGTTAAAAAGTAAGAAATAGTCACAACTGTGTTGCAGGACAGGACAAGAGAAAGATATGTAATATAACATACTACTTTTTTATTAACTTATGTGTAAGGACATTAGGATATTTGTCTGAAGAAATTTGTTACTTTTTTAGTAACTTGCCCAGCACAGAATACAAGATTATACTGAAATTCATCAAGTCTTGCCTAAGTACCACAAGGAAATACAGATGTTGAGAGATTACTGTCAGTCAAAAAGAAGTTTCCAAAGAGCAGACTAACCTATCTCTACACACCAAAATATAAAGTAGTGGTGAGAAACTCGCCAAATTAAATTAATTTTATTAATAAAACAAGGAAATGACGTTTCAGGCATCAGCCCTTCATCAGGTTTCCAGCGACAATGACACTGTTAATATAAGGGTTAGGTTGAAAGAACAAGTAACACTTGGCTTGAGCTAAGGGAAGTAACATATAAAAATATTAATAAAAGCATAAAAAATATATAAATACAGTCAGTCGTAGTAAATAAACTAAAAAAAATGGAAATTTAGAATAAAACACAGGCAACAATGTAAGAAAATGAATGAACACGTGCATTGGGTAATATTGATCAAAGGAATACAACAAAAAAGGTATGTGAACTTAATAGGAGTGAAGAACGACGGTGAAAAGAATATAAAAGTAACAAGTGGGGGAATAAAGTGAACGGGCTAAAGGGGAAAAATAGTGTGAACCTTGAACGGAAAGGTTGTAGACACAAAATGTCATGGTGAGAAATTTTGGATAAAGTGGGTTAATGGAAAGGATAAAGTTAAAGGAAACTTCTCCAAAGTTGCCCAGATCATCAAACAAAACTTCAACATCCTCACTTCCAAATCTTTAGAGAAACTCCACTTGTCAGTTTTAGACACATTAAAAACATTTTAGTCCACAGTGTCATTCAGAAATCTACCCCTAGTGTGAACCCGGGTACAGCCTATTGTCACAGAAAGAAATGCGTCACCTGCCAATATGTTAACACCATAACCTTCATATTTGGCCCCAATGGAAAATTTCAAATACAACAACCATTCACTTGCATTTCAACAAGCCTGATATACAGTAAAAAGTGCAACATACTATACGTTGGTCAAACGGGTCGCCGCTTAGAGGATAGTTCACGTGAACATATCTCTTACATAAGAAATACTGACGCTACAAATACCACTTTAATAACCCTTCACATTGCATGTCCGACTTCTTCATACTTGGACTCGTATTTGCTCCATTTATTGTAACACACAGATAACACCTGGAAAAAACGTTTTATTTTTAGATAAGGCACTGTTAAACCCTTTGGAATGAATGAAGAGGTCTCTTTTCTTTATACTTTCCATTTCCCCACCCTACACTTTCTCACACTGACACTTAGTGTCTATAACTCTTTCGTTCAAGGTTCATATTATTCTCACTTTAGTCAGCCACTGTCATTACCTTTATGTTCTTTTCACCGTTGTTCTTACCCCTATTAAGTTCACATACCTTTTATTGTTGTATCCCTTTGGACAATATTACCCAACGCACGTATTCATTCATTTTTTGTTCTACATTTCAATTTTTTTTTATTTAGTATATTTACTACGACCGACTGTATTTGTACAATCTTTATACTATTGTTTTTATTTGTTACTTCCCTTAGCTTATTTGTAGCTTCAGGAACCTGTTCTGGAGCCAAGTGTTACTTGTTCTTTCAACCTAACCCTTATATTAACAATTCAATTGTCACTGGAAACCTAATTAAGTGCTGTTGCCTGAAACATAGTTTTCTTATTAAAATTATTTCCCTTTGGCGAGTTTTTCACCACTACTATATATTCTATGTTGCATTTTGTTATTTCCTTGCCTACACAATTATTTTATTACTTATCTGCACACCATCAATGAGTTTAGGATGGTGAAGGATAGCACATGGTCCAATTGAAATGATAGAACTGAACAACGGGCAGTCTAAGGATGAGAGTGCTTTATGTAAAGAAAGACCACAGGAACAAAGTTAGACTAGGAAGATGAACTGTAGACTGAAAAAAGATGAACAGAAATGTTTAGAGGCCCAGATGAAATCTGTATTGGTAAAAGAACCGTTGAAAAAGAGAGAAAAAAGCTGTGGTGACTCTTTGAAAGTGACTTGTAGTATTACAAACTAGGTTGAAGAGCATATTAAGGAAATATTGCATAAGGATTTTCAGAATTGGGGTAACTCCCTTTTATATACATCAAAAAATAATTAATAAAAAAAAACAAGATATGAATGGGTGGAGGAATGAGATAATTTGGAATGTAAGAATTTGAATGATGAAAAATGTCATGCAGAAACTGAAATGATCTTTAGAAATACCATGTAAATCTAGTTCTCATAAGTGAAGCCACAGCTATAGTTATGTCTCAGTACTCGGAGACTATGTAATGTTTTCTGCCATTAAAGACTGATGTGTGCCATATTTTTGACCAGACTCCCCCTATATTTCCTTATGCTTGTCATAGACATTAGTATTAGTTCTATTACACTTTATATAACACCACAGTCTTTATCCAATTTCTTTGGATTTTTCAACAGGATTTTAAGTACAGTATGCCATAGTCATTACCAATGACAGAGCTCATCAGGCAAGCTGGGACACAACAAACACAGTAGTAGTTGGAACACTACTTATACAAGCCATTTGTTACAACAATGGTTATAGTGTGAATGCCTTTCCTTACCATAACAAATGTTGTTGTAACAAACATATTCCCTTATATTTAGCCCTGTTTTTTTTTAAATACAATCTTTAGGTATAGTAAGGTGACACCATGTGAAATTTTTACATTGCAAAGTGAACAAACATTCAAAAACGAATGAATATATTATGCATAAATGCTATTTTTTATTAGAGTGCTTTAAGTTTACAAATGAAAGTATGCAGACAGAGTTTGTAATTTTTAATGCTTCCATTAAATTAGCAAGTGAACACAGGTACAGTCAAATAATAAAATTGAAGGGAGCAAGACCTATCACATTTTTTTTCAGTAATAGAACATTCTGGTATCATTACTTCATTATATCAGTTTTGAGAAACCACATAAGTTATATACGATTTTATCACTATATAAAATAAAATGTTTTAGTCCACCAGAAGTAAAACAAAGACACTGATGTAATAAAATTAAATTCTGTTCCTCAAACATGTACACTTAAATCACAAATTATTAATCAATGACACAGCTTGGATCACCGACAAAAAAATCATATACTTTACAAGTAGATACATGTACATGGCACAACTTGGCCTGGTAACAGCAATAAAGTCATAATTTCACTGCTACTTAAGTATACATTTACAACTAAGCAAAGGAATGTTTATACAAAGCTTCTCAGCCAGATTTAAACAATAAAATGGCAACCTGGCCTAAATAGAAATAGATAAAATGCTTTGTCTCATGAGTAACATAACTTCCAAAATTACGTCCAACTATACAATGCCAAGTTGGATTGTATTTCTTGTCAAACTCCTTCTTAATAAAGGCAGCTATATCCTTCTCGATGTTGTATTTTTCCAGTGCCTGGGTTGCTATGTCCACAGCATCTTGCTGCATTTCCTCAGACATATCAGCATTCTTGATGACAGCCTTTTTGTCAGACATAGAGATCACTTTGAAAATAAGATTCTGTCTATAAAAAAAAGATCAAAGACATCATGTTTTTCATTTTCTATAGCTTTATTTCTCCTTACATATTTTGTTTACAAATTAACTTTCATTTTTATAAATTAATACAGGAAATGTGTCAACTTACTTCTGTTCCTATTGTTACAAATACTCTATTAGGCTAATTAGCTAATTTAAGAAATTAGTTTTACTGATTTCAATCTTTACAAATCTTTTATTGGCTTACTTCGGGTACAAAAAAATTGTTCACAGAGATATCTAAATACACAAAATAAAATTCTTACAAATATGAAGAATAAATTCAAATATTTTAAAATAAAACATACAAAACACCTTATACTGTTATTAACAACAGAAATGTGACATGAGAAAGTTACTGGTATATATGCATTGAGTACATAGTACATTTTGTTGTCCAGTCTTACAGCTGCATTTGTGTCATTTCTGCATAATGCTGTATTTTTAACTGGACTGTATGTTTTATTATGCACTAAAGATTCTTTTTTGTTACTACTAGATAACATTAAAAGAACAATTTACTTAGGGAAAAGCTGATAATGGTAGAGAAAGCAAATGCAACAATTCCATTAGAAACAACAGTAGCAGAATTAAAACAAAAACCCAAAACTAGGAAAGAATAGTGTATAAAGACTTATAAAAATTAAGCTAATATAACATACACACAACAACTGGTCCTTGAAGGTTGTTATTACTCACACACCCTTGAGCAAAGTAAAAACTTAAACCCACACATAATTTATAAAGGAAACCACAAATTCCCTTAAGTGCTGAAACTGAAAGCAACTCAGTCCATAAGCAAACTACCCTGTGAGATAAACAAAATTGTCTTAACTGAACTCTAGCCTGTATTATTCAAATCTTAAACTTTTATCCACTTGTCCTATTATCTTCAAACTATAACAAAAGGAAGTTGGGGGTTTTAATCCCCTCAATTCCCCCTCACTGATGAAATGCAAGTTTGTTTTTTTAGTGGACTTGGAGAGCTGAAACTCTGAAAAACTCAACATCAGATTCTGTTCATTTCATCAATCACTATATTTAAAAATAAAATACTCTGGATAAATACTCAAATAGAACAAATGGAAGTCCTACGATTCTTTCAACTGTAAATAAATTTAACATACCCGACGCTACCCTGTAGATCATTATCCTAAAACTAAAACAACTTACAGTTATACAAAGTTTGGGAAACGTACGTCAATATATATTAGTATTCTTTTTTCATTTGCGTTATCTTCTGAAAGATGATTAGTTCTTTCACTGTTTTATGATTCACAACTTTTTCTTTTCCTACAAAATTACAAGGATCTAGCTTCTGATCTCCAAAGATCTATAAGTATAACTATTTATTTTGTAGAAATATACCTGTTCTCAGTGCTACATAGGTGATATCGCGTCAACAATTTGATGTTTACAAGGATACAGGGAAAATTCATCGTGTGCACTATGTTTTTATTAATAATATTATTATCACTATTACTGAGTATTCCTATTAGTATATTATTATACTTGCGGGTTCTACTTCACCTACAACAGTGGGATGCTGAAAATGAATAATTAAGCTAGAAAAGTTAATTGTATATTCAGCGCTAAATGAAAGAGAACTTATGCATAAAGGCGACAACAACCATCAGTAACAGTAATGGTAACTAATATGAGACCTCCAATTTAAATTTAATTAAAAGTTCTCTTGAAGTTGAACTTTAGGAAAAATTAAAGTTAACGCAAGTAGTAAGTATGAGTGTAAAATATTAATTTAAAATTAAGAGGCAATTAACTTTAAGTTAGCGATCTGCACTTGGGTTATATATAAATATAAGTTAAACCGAACCTACCTGTGTAAACTAAAAGTTAAGAAATAGCTATTGCAAGTTGTACGCTTGAGCCACAGAACTTATCCGGTTCGAATACTGCGTTCCAGTGTTACTGAGGTTTCCACACGTGACAGATGACTATGTTACCACGCAAAACGAACGTCTATCCATTGATCTGCCGCTTGTTTTGCAGTCAAAATTGAAAATTTTGATTGGCTATGAAACTAACGATTCGCACGATCATTTGCTGAAAACGTATCTTCTAACAATCTTCTATCAACCCACAATTCTTCACATTCGGACTTACTTGTAACACTTCGGAAGTAATCGGAAGACGCAGTAAAAGTATAGCAATTTATCGTGAACGTGACTGTGAAAGTGGTAAGCAAACACAGTGGGTGTGTTCCAGTAAAGAATTGTGTTAAGCTTTAATTAACTAGTTTAGATTTTTCTAAAACATTCAAAATATTATACCGCAATAACGATAGCATAATCTACGTTGGTAACCTTCCTCCTGACATTCGAAGCATAGATATAGAACGCTTGTTTAACAAATTTGGAAAAATAAATTTTATTTAAAAAAAAGGCGAGGCCCCTCCATTTGCTTTCGTAGAATTTGAAGATGCTAGGTTGGTAATGGTAGTTTATTAGGTTCAAAAGTTAGGCCTAAAAGAACGTTTATTATAATATTATTATTATTAAATAGTATATTAGTAATACACACACACACACACACTTGTTGATAAATCCAGGTAAATATAAATTTTAATTATAACTTTACGTTTAGGTTTCATGTAAAATTTGATTACACCACGCCAAATTAGAAATAACTACAGTCTACAGATGCTAAGGTAAAATCTTTTTTTTATGAATACGAGTGTAGACTAGGTAAGATGAAAGGTGTGTTTAGTTTTTTAAGTGAGGAACGTGAAACATGGTAGTATATGTTTTTTGTAATAAAGCAGTAGTGAGCTGTCAACACAAACTAAGTATTGTTTGGAAAGAGCAGTAATGGTTTTATTACATAAGCTTTAAAGTGGTTAATTTTTAATTTAACCATTGCTGACAATTCAAGTACTTCCACTATTATTATTAATATACAGGGGTTGGACAAAATAATGGAAACACCTAACAT